CCTCGCCAGACGAGCTGTGGCTCCATCCAATACCAGCCCTGCTCTGACTTGGCAAGCACCTACCCCAGCCCCACTCTCTCACTCACTGCGGGGGGTATTGATCTGCCCCCTATGCCCCTTCCCTCTCCCTCCTCTTTCACCACAACAGACTTACCAGCTGGACTCAGCTGTATCAGAAATCAGATAGGTATTGGCCGATATGCCTCCTTAAAAATCGGCTATCGGTATCAGCCCCCGAAATGTCCATCAGTGCACCCCTAGTTTTTGACAAATCCAGTTTGTATGAAAAAAACAGTTAAGTTGCTGAAAGGCAGCATAATATAGATAATGGATCTTTTGCCTTTAGGCTTTTGCTTGCTAAGACCAATATGATTGGTTAAAGTGTAGAAAGGAAACACTGTTGTGTAAAGTATTCAGTTAGGTGGAAAAAGAATACAGAGCTAGAAGCACAGGTCACTTTATTTACATTGCATCAAGACGTCAGATGAAATTAGTGATTTTTAGCATTCATCTAGAAAAGTCTCTTTTAAGGGGAAATGAAGAATATTGATTTTTTTCCTATGAACTAAAAGCTTACTGAGGATATTTGGCGCATATGCAAGTTGCACTTAATAGCACAAAAGGTCTCATAGCATTATTGAAAATGTAAGGCTCTTATTAAATTGAGCAAAGATAAGCTTCTTGGATTTCTATGTGAGGATGAGGGGGAACTGTCTGGATTATGTAAACCTATTTTTACACAAGATGAAGGGCATAAATCTTTGATCTAATATTTCACTGAAAAATATCTCACTTGCTTTACTTTGTCAGTACTTCAGAAACAAAAGCTTACTACAGATGCATGGAAGTCGCTGTTCTATCCAGCAGGTTTTAAAATGTTGAGATCACAACTTTTACTGAAAGTATTTATTAAACTGACAGTTCACTGGATTAAAAATAGTAGATGTTGTCCAGTTTTGAGACTTAAGGCAATATACATGAAGGAGTTTGTCATAGAAGTTGTATGGCTGCTATGCTGCATTTCTGACCTGGAAACCAGTATTCCTCAGTTTAAATTTTTAACTGTCCACAAGGATGTTCTAGTCAAAGAAGGTTATAATGTATCTGGGCGTTGCCACCTGGGTCACAAAGAATGTGGTTGGGGAATAAAGAATATCTCTCATCACTTGAACTTGCTTGAATTCCTAGCCCAACCTTAATCTCAGATTTTACACAGTTCATAAATGAAACAGACACTGCCCTGGGGTCAGTCTTTACTTAATTATGGACTCTTCTTGACCAAATAGCTTTTTCTTCATCATCAGACATGTAGATTGCCTTGTGCACCATGTACGTAGAGCCAATTATCAAAGTCTTATTTGGCGAAGTGCACTTGCCCCTAAACCAACATTGCCATACCCTGACCAGTGTGGTTGACAAGCTGAAAATGACAGTTATGTTCCTATCATAAACATGCTTGAACCATTACCTGCAGAATACCGTTGAATAACACATTGCAAGTGCACGATGGAATGCCATAGGAGTGCTCCAGTAGAGATTTTTGGGGCTGATACTAATAGCTGATTTTTAAGGAGGCATATCAGCTGATAGGGATCCGATTTCCGATACATCATGGACAGCTGCGTGCAGCTGGTGAGTCTGTTTTGGGGGAAGGAAAGGGGGGCAGCTCAAGGCCCCTGCGGTGAGGGAGAGAGTGGTGCAGGGGCCGGGGCAGGTGCTGTCCAGCCGGGGCACAGCGTGAGACCGAGCCGTGGCTTGTCTGGGAGGTAATGGGAGGGTGGGGCACCTCCCACTGCTGTGTACACCCTGGGAGGGCATGGGGGTGGGGAGCAGCTTGTGCCCTCGGATCTCCGCAGGATGGGTTGCCTCGGCAGAATGGGATTGGGGCTGGGGCTGTGCCAGGCTTTTCTCGGCAGGGGCTGGCTAGGCTTTGCTTGGGGCAGGCGGTGCCAGCTCTTGGAAGGGGGCTACGGTGGCGGGGGGGCGCTGCAGCTACCCCAAAATTGGTTGTACCCACCCCCCCTCACAGTGCCACCACCACGTGCCCCAAGTGCAGCCCAGCCCCCGCTGAAAAGAGCCTCCTGCAACACCCCACCCTGCCCCACCCCACACAGATCTGGGGGCATGCCCCCCCGTGCTCTTCCAGGGTGCATGCAGCAGTGGGAGCCATGCCTCCCACATGAGCTGTGGCGCTGTCCCGTACCCCACCCCACCCTGCCTGGGCAGTGCCTACCCCAGCGCCACTCCCTCCCTCACCATGGGGCCCTTGATCTGCTCCCTGACAACCTTTCCCTCCCCACTCCCCTTCCACCACAACAGACTTACCAGCTGCATGCAGCTCTCCAAGCTGCTGGACTGTGCTCCTCATCGCCTCTGCGCTGCACTGCAGTGGCACGCATGCACAGGCCATTTATTGGCCATGTCGTTGGCCACAACTGCTCGATTTCTGATAGCCAATTTTTTTATATCTGTGCTGATCTGATATCAGATTGATGTATAAGTGCACCTTTAGAATGCCACGGACCATCATGCTCATGCAAGCAGGTTAATGTGCCATGCACTCATGGCTGCCCGTGCTATGAAACAGCATGTTGCAATCTGTATAATAACTACAGGGATTCAGAATTGGGTTCAAGTGATGAAGAAATATGAAAAACTGCAATTACCCATTGTATTAATGTTATTACACTTATATTACCATTGGGTTAGACTATTACATTTTCCCATTGCCTGGAGCTGAACTTATGTCTGTGTGTTTCATTGCCACTGAGTTATTAATATCTGACTTATCTGCATTTTGAAAAAAAACTGTACAGGTTTATTCAATATACCTTGAACAAATAGGCTAGCCTGGGGTTATAATGTCTTCAGTACTGTAGGCCTGCTTTGAAATTTGTAGTGATAGGATAGTAACATCTTTTACTAGGTTTTTTTAATTGCATTGAATCAATCCATTAAATGGATTGTCCATCATTAAACAACTGCCAAAAATAGCTTGTGCTCAGCAATGGAAACCAACTGATTAAATGCAGCCAACTCTGAGCATAACTATGAAACACATGACCCCATATGGGGTAAACATACAAATGGGCACTATTTTATATTTCATTTTAAGGGCCAGACCGGTTCCGGGTTCAATTGGGCAAAGCCCAGTAGTCAAGTTCCAAAATTGACTGAGCAGATCTGTCATCAAGTTTTTGTGGCTCTACCACTGGGCAAGTATCTTCCCTCTGGACCCATTGGTCTGGGGCTTCAGATACTCCCCAAATGTAGGCAGGCATCGTACTTATAAACCCCAGGCCCAGAGACCTTGGGTGTCAGATGCCCCCCAGTCTCAAAGATCTTGGCGAAAAGGCTATATTGGGCAAACATACTAATGGGCACCTACCACAAGGATAGTGCAGTCCATCTGAATAAGATATATGCTAGTTCCCATTGTGTGCAGTCCCCCTCAACGCTGACTCTTTTCCAAGTCATGGTGATCTACTACATTAAATACATTTAGACTTCTGCATCACCTGGGTAAGTCATCAAAGTCACAGTTTTCTAATTGCTATTAATTTCATGGTTCCTGTGCTCCAGTGTTGAGATACTACATACTTTTCAGAAATGCTGATAGTCCACTGACTTCTTTTGGGGAGGTTGTGGGTGGAAGCACTTTTGAAAAAACACATTGTTTGAAAGTAGTGTCCAAAATCAAAAGCACTTCTGAAAATTCTGTCTTACATTTAGCAATCCTGGAAATGGGGTAAATTAACTATCTGCATAATATGTTTTAGGTCCTTATGTGAAAATGTATCTGATGATAATAAAAGTATTAAGCACATATTAAGTCTTTATCCACTTGAAAATAATCCATTTTTTTTAAAATTGTACCTCAAGCTGACTGTCATCTTTTTTCCTTGTGAGTGCATATAGAGAACTGCAAATTCTAATCTAAATTATAATTCATATTTGCAACTTACATATCACTATTTGCTATCATGCATCTAAAATTAGAATCAGACGTTTAGCTGGCAGAACTAAATTTACAGATTAATTTAGTGCCAGAAAGTAGTGCAACAAAATATATCAGATTAACACATCATAACTAGAAATTAACCTCTTTATCAAGTCATCTAATCCAAGGAATGTTTGTGCAGGGAATGTGCATTGTAATTAGCTACTGACAGTTTAAAAAAAAAAGAGAGAGATTGAGTAGGCTGTATAAACATGTACTCATTTAATGTATGATGAAGTGTTAGGGATGATCTGCTGTTTAATTCAGTTTGATGTAAAGGTGGTTTACTCATCTAGGGAAACAATATTTAAGTGCAAAAGATTCCTTGTGTTATACTATTTATTTTGAAGTAAAATGGTTCAAGTTGACTGGGCTGATTTATTGAGGGGCAAAATTGCTTTTTCACTTTGTATATTCCTGTTCTGATTTGATAATAATACTTAGCAATTTAGAGGCTTTTTCTGCTTTCTTGGTCTATGATGTTTGGGCATGGATTCTTTCCTGGCAGCCAAACTGAAGCTTGAGACTCTGCCCCAAATCTATCTTTGGTGTTCCATATTTTATTTTTGGATTATGATGCTTCACTAAAGAGTAGAAAATGCTCCACCATTGTGTACAGGACCATTACCCCTATTAGTAATAGTAGGGGTTTCCAACAAGTTACCAGGCGTCTACCTATTGTCTCTTACTCTGCATAAAATGTAATGTAATTCCAGCATGTTAATTTGTTTATGACTGATAGGGAGATAAAGAACTCTTATCTTGCAAACTGATTTGTTTAGTTGGACACCTTTGCCCATAGAGAATCTAATTGAATTCTCTGGTGTCCCTCACAAGCCATCTTGCAACCCTACTGTTTTTTTAAACAAGACCTCTGTAAATACTTATGCACGATTCTTATTAGCTTTGCTGGTTTTAATGAAACTACGTTGTTTGTTCAAGTGGGAGAATTTTTTGAACATTGTGGTTCTAATGCTTGTAATTCTAATGTTCTTATCAGGTACGACAGGCAAAGCATCGTCCCCACCTCCTGTTTTAGACACAAGGCAGATGAGTGAGAAACTAGAGACTATTTTATTTCAGCTACGCCAGGTGACCCGTGAGAGGGATGAATTGCGAAAGCGCCTTGCACTTTCATCTCCCGGCTCAACCTTTGATGACTGCAGGTAATGATATGTGCTCTCCCTTCCCACCTCTACATTTGAATCCTGTTTTAAATTATGTTGAATCTTTGTGCTTAGGTTTGCATGAGTTTTATTGACTTCACTAATGACTAGAGCTGTTTACACACTTTTACAGTATACTTGCTTACCAGGGAGAGCCCGAAGTTTCCTGTTTGGCTTTGCAGAGATAGGACTTGCCATATAAAATGGATAGGGGGCTTCCCAGCAGTGGTTAATGGAGGAAGGAAGGTGGACAGCACACTTAAATAATGGGAAACAGGGAATGATAGTGTGTTGTGTAATTTTGAACACCCCCAAATTGAAGTGCTCAGTACTTGCCTCAATAAATTAATGTTAGACAGCCCCCTATACTCATTGTTTTGATTTAGAGAAGGGACTGTCCAGCAATCCATTATTATAGGAGTGGTGGGGGGGAAGTGATTGAGAGTGTGAAGTTAAGAGGCCAGAAGTGATTAGCTGTGTGGGAGACCTAACTGATTTATTTTTGGACAGCAAGGATATGATACTGTTTAAAAACCTGGCTTTCCAATGGTATGGGTGGCCAGCTGGTTTTTACTTTGGCTAATGACATTCTAGTAAATTCTTGTCTAAGTATAGTATACTCAGGGCGTCTTTCTGACCAAACATCACCGTCACAGACTGAAATTCAGCTGCAAAGCACAGATGTATGGAAGTTCTTAAAGAAATTGGTTAGCTGCTTTCTGCCTCGTTTCTCTTTTTTGGTGATTGTGGGATACCACTGTAATGTATACTGTTATCAGCAGTATAACTTAACTGTTAACTTGTAGTCCTTATGTATGCATTCAGGATTTGGACTGGTGAACTGAAAAAGGAAGTGTTCTTTCCCAGTACCTGTCCCCTTATTTAACTATCCTGCCTTTTCTCACAGGCCTGGTGTCAGGCTTGTTCAATGAGCATAGAACACTTTGACTGTTAATATATATTTTGTCAAAGGATGGCAGAGTAACATTACCTCTAATTTTAGGCAAATTTTGAAATTCTTTTATACCTTTCACTCTGTCCTTACCCAGGCAGAACTCTCATAAAACCAGTGGAATTTGCCTAAATCTGGAGTTGAGGGTTAAGTTGCCTTAATGTTGTAATACATTACAATTCTTAGAAGTCAAGATTCATAGATTATAGAGTCAGAAGGGACCCAATGGATCATCGTGTCAAACCCCTGCCCCTGGCAGGAAAGAGGACTCAGGTTAGAAGACCCCGGCCAGGTGATTGTCAAGCCTCCTCTTGAAGACCTCCAAGTTAGGTGATACCACCACCTCTCTTGGAAGCCCATTCCAGACTCTGGCCACCCTTATTGTAAAAAATGTCTTCCTAATGTCTAACCTAAATCTACTCTCCACTAGTTTGCACCCATTATTCCTAATTAATCCCTGCGGCACTCTGGTAAACAGCTCATCCTACTAATATAAACTTGCATTTAAATTGCCAAGATTTCCTCTTTGACTGTTAAATCAATCCACTGCTACAAATGTAGAAAATTATGAGTTTTAACATGCTTAAGAATAACTTTTTAGAATAAATATTGTTGTTGAGCAGTGTTTGGACCATCTATATTAACAGAGGGAGCTTGGCTTCCAAACAACTAAAGAGATTTCAGAAGTAGGAAATGAATTAATATTAAGAGGTTACTTTTTCTCTTGTTAAACAAAATGAAACACTTCTCTATGTGAGAAAACAGGCAAGCAATTTTATGCTACTCTGTTTCTCAGTGGGAGCATCTACACAAGATATTTACTGCATAGTTAACTAATAAACTGTGCAGCAAACATCTTAGCGCCTACACGTGCGCCCCTGTTAGGGTGCACAAAACTAATAAACGCCGCAGCAGGGTAGTACTTATAAAATACAAGTACCACCCTACTGCAGAGTTTTTTTGTGCGCAGCAGCATGTGTATAGATGCTACCCCGGCTGGCTGAGGCACAGGGTTTCTCAGTGTGGAGCTAGCTGGCAGGCAGCCCCACGCTGAGGCACCCTGCGCCCCAGGCAGCTGCTCAGCCGCACATGGAAGTGAGGAGAGCATCTGCTAAAGGGACAAAAGTTGGCCCCAGATTTTGTAAATTTTCATTCTTAAATGGTGTAATCTGAAAGAGAAATATTACACCTAAGATTTTACTCTGTCACCACTATGTGGACATTTAAGAAACAGACGGGCAACCCAGAATGAGATCCCAATAAAGTGATTGAAAGCTATTGTGACATATAACACTTTTATTTGGGCCAGGTGCATGGGTAAAGGGAAATGGTTACTTCAGGCATGTGCATGTTGCCATCATAGCAAATGTTAAGTGAACTCCAGCATCAACAGATACTATTTCTTAGGAGAGCTGTAGAAGTGATATATGATGTGCTAAATCTAACACTTTTGCTGAGGGATAATATGTTGCTTGTGTTAACATTGTATCTGTCACTGACTGTGTGCACTTGGGCATGCACTGTGCAGCAGTCACGCATTTAGAAAACGCAGAAAGCATTTGGCCAAAGGGTTTTACATACCTGAGGTGTACTGCTTATGCTTAAAGCTGTTATTTGAGATGTCGTAATATAGTTTCTTTCTATAGAGCAGGGGTTGTCAACCAGGGGTACTTTGAAAGGTCCTGTGGGTACATGGGAGTGGGCAAGGGCGGAGCACTGCAACCCCTGCCGCTGCCTCACAGGAGCAGGCCCAGGGTGGAGCCGAGAGCAGGGCCACACAGAGGCTGCACTGCCACCACTCACCACGCCCCCACTCTGTGTCTGTCCACTCGCCCCCCCACTCCATGTCCGGCCTCTCGCCATGCCCCTCCCCCACAGTACACTTATTAAAAAAAGGGGGCTGCCGGGGGTATACTTATTAAAAGAGGTTGAAAACCCCTGCTATAGAGAACTGACACAAAAAATGAAAGCTGCTGTTTGGAGCACATGCAAGATTGCAAGTGGGGGTGAGGTAATGAACATAAACATTTTCAGGCTTCTGGCAGGGCATTGCCCACTCCCAGCTCTTACCCCTACTTGCGTCCCACCTCATTGTCCACCTTTCTCCTGCACAGTCTGACAGCTTTACCTCTCTCATGGTACACTTGTCAGGCACACAGTAGAAACATACTACATAGCTCTGTATGTGCTAGATCCACAACACTCACAGTATAGCCATGTTTGCATGTCCCCCATCTCTCAGCCATGCAGATGAGAAGGCCTGCAGTGCTGCTGTAAGATAACTATATACTCCTTCCTCTTCTGTAACTAGCATACACAGAAAAGCATGGTACGGGAAGTATTCAGGGAAGGGAGGAAGGTATCAGTTGATCCTGCTCTGAATCTAACCATGTGGCCCACTTGCACAACTGACCAGACAGTTGCAGCCTGCTGGTTGAGAAACGCTGATCTACATACCAAGCCCCAGTACCATTGTATTTAATTTTACTTTTGCATAAGAAGATCAACTTGTGGAAACTTATATTGTGTTTTTTTATTTATTTATAAGAGTCCACTACAAATTCTGTGTTTGCTCTAGATATTAGCTTCACTGGAGCTTATAAGTGAAGAAATATCCATATGCACTTCATCATTTCAGTGATGTAAAGAAATGCTGGCGTTTGCTTATGAGAGTAGCTTATTTGCCCATTGATTAAATCTTGCATATTGAAATAGTTTATGAGAATATACATTTTAGATTGCAAGCTTAATGTGAACATATGCTAATAGAACTCAGTAAACTGTAGTGCATTCAGCAGGATTTAAAATGCACTTCATTTAACATAATTGTAATGATTGTTTTGTACAGATGGCACTGCTTTCAATTACTTTACCCTAAAGTCTCATTTAAATCAATACTAGAGTTATGAGTGGTTGTGTCAAAGGTGTAAACAGTTGCAAAATTAGTTTTATTTTTGATAGTTTGGATTATATTTTAAGAAGGAATGTCTGCATAACAGTTGATAATGATCATTTTTCATATATCACTCTTCTTTTCCTTGGCATTCCTAAAGGGAGAACATGTACAAAATATTGTTTTTCAAAGTCTGAGTTTTGCCATTGGAAGCTCAGATATTCTATTAGATTATTTTTTATCTGAAGACCTCATGCTACAGAGCAAATAAAAAATATTGTCCCTAAAATAAGATGCCTTGGTATTGTGTGTATACGTTGTTGGGTTTGTAAATCTTATAGGATCACTATTTTATTTATACTTCTTTCAGCAATTCAGCTATGCAAAACTGTTTTCATTCTCGCTCATCAGCTGAACTGCCAGCTAAGGTAGAGTTCCAGAATCTTTATTGGTGTCTGTGTATGAGGCAGAAGGAACTCTAATTACTTTTCAGGCTGAATTTGCAGTGTAGTCATTTAGGATAGGGGTTGAAGTGGAGGATGTGGAAGAAATGTGCCCTTTACTGGCAACTGAGCAAATTCAATTGGAAACTAAGCAGTGTCAAAAAGAAAGCAGAGAGTTCCATAAGCTCTGTTCATTGCCTATAGGTTTGTTCAATTTTAGGAGACCCAGGAGAAAGATCACATGAGCAACTGTCAAAAGTTTCATTGTGAAACCAGAAAATTCAGTCTTGGAAAAATATTGTGGCTATCTAGACAAAAAGTAAAGAATTCAGTTTAGAGTTGATTTAAGAGCTTATAGGCTGAAAGCACGTTAAAACAAAATTCTGCTAGTAAGCGTTGGTAAACCAGAAATTATCAGTATTTCACATGATCTCAGGTTTTCCAAGTGTTTTTTCCAAGTTATCTTACAGTAAGTCTGTTTTGCTAGTGTGTGCACATACACATGCATGCTTCAGTTTCATGGTGCATAGTCAACTGCTAGCCAAGATAGGTAATTTTATTGTTTTTTTTTCCCCTCATGTTTCCTCCTCCCCCTCCCCACCCAGTCTACTCTGGGTAGACTTAATTTCTACCCTTTTAAGATTTCTTGATTGACACACATTTTGTGCACTTCATTAGTAGGGGTGTGTGAAGCAGCCACTAATGAGATTCAGATTCGGCCCAAATTGGGGACAGTCATTCGCTTCCTTGATTCGGATCACTGTCCCTGATTCAGTTAATCTGAATCTGAAGATTCAATGCTGATTTGAAGAATCAGTGATTTGGACATAGACACAGCTTTAAATGTTTTTTCTACATACCTCGAGGTACCAGGCACGGCTCATGAACGGTTCGATGGTGGGGTGGATGGAGCATCCCACAAGAGCGTGGGGGGCTCCCCCATGTGTTCGGCAGCCAACCCGGAAGTGGACCAGAAGTAGGTCCGCTTCCAGGGAGTGCGCAGGGGCCCCTCACAAACTCCCCTCCTGCCCCCCCCCCCCCCAGCTTGACAATCAGCTGCGGGGGACCCTGGGTACCCCCCAGACCCAGGAGGTACCAGTCACTGAGCTGGGGTGACGCGGGGGCCCCTGCGCACTCTCCAGCAGACCCGGAAGTGGACTGGAAGTGCTTCTGGTCCACTTCCGGGTCTGCTGGAGAGTGCACTGGGGAGCGCCCCGTGCTTCTGTGGGACACTCCATGCACCCCAGCATCACAGCATTCATGATTTGCCTGATACCTAGAGGTATGTAGAAAAAATACTTAAAGCTGTGTCAATGTCCAACTTGCCTAATCTTTCCAAATCAATTCGGAGTGTTCCGGTTCAATTCTGAGAGATTAAAGGGTCCTCTGATTTGATTCGGAGATTCAGCCACCAAATCAGGCTTAATCTCCACCAAATCAAATCAGGGACTGAAGCTTTGCACAGCCCTACTTATTGGCCATTAGTAGAGTTTATATCTATTAAAAATGAATTGGGGATATATTTTTAAGTAAAATTATGGGCTGATGCATACAATTAAACTTGAGTCTGACCTCTGTTGTCATTCATTTATAATAGTTTAAACTAAGATCATAACACTTAGATATAGCAGCATGAGTTTAAAATAAGTGGATAAAATGTCAGATGTATTAAGTAGATACCTATTTGAATTCATTGAAAAAAACAGTGCTAACAGGATAACCCAGCAAAATAAGAATGAACTATGATTGTAGTAGAGGTGACAGGTTTATTCTGTAATAATGCTGTTGTCCATAGGAGAAGTACCCTAAGTTCGAAATATAAGTAAATCAGAATTTCTGTTAATGAAAGCAGAGTCTCCTTAGAGTGGTTATATTGCTTTGCAGTAAGTACTCTACTACTTCTTTGTAGCTTGTATAAATTCTAGCTTGAGACTGGCAATGGTTTCAATTCCCTGCTTTGCCATAAGCTGCCTCTGTGACCTTGGATGAGTCATTTGAGTATGTCTACACTGCATTACTCAGGCCAGCTTTAAACTACTAGCTGGCATGATGTGGTGCACTATAACAGCTTCATTCCTGCCAGTATCTGAGTTACCCAGATTAAAGGTAGCTAGGTTATGTCTACATATCTGGCCTTTCTTATGTCTACACCTTCTTACATCCCTGTAATCTTTCCTCCTATTTTTTTTATAGTGGAGATAATAGTACTTCCCTGTTTTAAGAGGGTTTGCAAGATTAAAATTGTAACATTAACAGTCTGTTTTATTTTAAGCCTTTCCCATCCATTTTGAGTTTGCCTTTTTCTTTGTTTCATTAACATTTAGAATATGTAATCTTGTACCCTGGTTTATATAGAGCCTGCTAGCAGGATGTTTTCTTATCCAGGTGTTTCAGTCCAAAGTTCACTTCTCCCTGTCAGTCCATGATAGCCTAGAATTGGCAGCCTTTATGGTTCTTCTCAGTTTTTCTAGAGCAGAAACTAGACCCTCGAGAATTTGCAATTGTTTTAAAGTATATTTTTAAAATTTCATTCATGTTTAAAGAGATTTGTGAACTTTACACTATAAAAAAATCTGTGTGTGTACAGATTCCACATTTTATATGCTGCTTAATTTCCTGTATAAATTCTGATGTTCTGGATATCTTTAATATTATACATATACTATATAGAGAAATTAATATCTCAGAAGAGAATTACAGGGATTTTTTCTTCTTGTTTTTTTGCTATTACTATGCATTGACAAAGGGTCAGTTCATGCATAATTTATACTTGCCACTCACTGTTTAAAAGCCACAGTATTTATAACAATCTCATGCTTTGGGGTGCTTTTTACTAACTATAACTGCATGGTCATTTTACAGTTCCTTGATTACTCTGTTGATTGAAATCTGGTTTTATTTTCTCCTTCCATGGCAGACCCAGCCCTAAACCAAATCACGATTATGAAAGATTGAAAATACAGTGCATGAAGGCCATGTCAGATTTGCAGTCTCTACAGAATCAACATACCAAGACGCTAAAAAGATGTGAAGAAGCTGCCAAAGAGGCAGATTTTTATCAGTAAGTAACATGCAATAAAGGTATGGAGAGCCAGCAATCTCAAATCATGTAACTGCATGGGACATGAGGTAGTTGGATCTCTGCTTCATTATCAGATAAGAAGCTACCCTGAATTTCAGGGCTGTTAATAGCCATTTATGAACATTTGGACTGATGCTCCAGATTTTGCTCCTTGAGGCTTGGGATCAGAAGTTACACAAACTGGTACAAGTGATCAGAAACCGGTTCAAATCTGTAGCACAACAGAAGTTTAGTGCACTTAAACCTCTTTCAAATGGCCAAAGCTGGTTTAAGATAAACGTGGTTGAATGTACATCAGCCTGAACTGATTTAGGTCAAATTGGTTTATAGAACTTCTGTCCCAGACCCCCTCCCGGTTCAAGTTAACTCAGTCCCTCAGCATCGCAGGATGCTTGGAGCCCTGGGCTGTGCTGTCTGTTCTAGCATAGCAGGGTTGGGGATCGCTGCTCCAGCTGGCTGAGAAAGGGGTGGGGATTGGAACTTGGCTCTGGACCCCAGGCAGGGGACAGCCCTCCAACTTTTTGCTCTGTTCTGCACTGGAACAGAGAGCCAGGGGGTGTGGCCAGGCCCTGGCCTGGGGCCAGCATACTGGGGGGAAGGGGGTTTAAACCCTTTCCCTGGCCTGCACAGGACCCCAGCTGGGGGTGGTGGAGCAGCCCCTGCCAGGCTTTTCCCAGTTCAAGTATAGGTGGGTGTATGGTCAGGCCCCAGCCCAGCTCCACAGGCTGAGGTGGGAGGCAGGTTAAAACCCCTCTCTGCCCTACACCAGACCCCAGCTGTGGTCTGTCTGGCTCTGGGGAGGCAATCCCTCTCAGGCTTTTTCCTGCTCTCCACCTAAGCGGAGATCATCATCATCATTTCCCCCCCCCCCGGCTCCTCGCCTCAGCGTGCCAGCCCCTGGCTGGGGGCAGTGCAGGCCAGGGTGAGGATTTATTACCCTCCCCCTCCTCCCCCATCATACTCAGCAGGCCAGCTAGGGCCTGGCCATGTCCCTGCCTCTGCTTGAGCTGGGGGGGTGGGGAAGCCTTGGAGGGCTTCTCTCTCAGCTTCCCTTCCTTCCCTTTGGCAATGGCTGGGAGGTGTGCTGTAGTGCCCCACAGCTTGTGGCCTGAGCCGCTACAGGCATGTGGCTGCATTTCTGGAATCAAAAGTACATATGTATTCATTTGCTGCTTGGTTCAATCTAGGCAGTTTAGACTAACCTACAAAGATTGAATCGATTCAGCCTCAGGTTTTTTGACTGTGTGTACTTAGCTTGAAAGTTGGCTGCTTTGTTAGAGCTCAGCAAGTCAACTGCATGTCTCATGTATAAAGTTCTTTAACAAGTCTTCCTGAGGAAGGATGGACATGGCTGGGTTTGGATACATTACTTGCATAAAGATGCACTGCACTTGTGTGCTTTTATCAGTATGTGGTCCTGACCTATGAATTGAGTGTATCAACTTTGTATGCTTAATCAAAGCTTCTGAAATTTAACGCTTCCCTGATCTTGAGACAGTTTTTATCCAACTGGATCTAGACCTGTATTTTTTTTTAAAGGCAATTTTGGATGGTACAAGTGGCACAGGAAGTCTCGGCACATGGCATATCGGGAAGGGACAGGCAGCACAGAGGCAGGTAGAGCAGGAAACAGAAAACAGAACAGCAGTTTGGGCAGGAGATGCAGGCAAGGGGCAGAAAGCAAAGCAACAGATCGGACAGGGAGCACAGAGCAAGAAGCGGCAAACTGTATGGGAAGCAGATCACTGGTACCTAGAGATGGTGTGGAGCTTAATTTGTGGCATGCCTGCAAAAGAGGTTGGCCCATGTAGTAGGCCATGCTTTTCAACTTTCATACTTTTTTGTGTGTTTATTCTCTTCTGTCTTCTAGAACCCTTTTCCAAAGAATTTGCAGTCTATGTAACATCTGAAAAACAGATTATACCAAGTGTAAAAATAACCTAAGTTTAATATGATCTACCAAAGGCTTAAGTTTTGGAACAAGTTGTTGCTGTATTCTTAATGATTTGTTAGTCCTTCAATGGGTCTAGGAAATGTAGTTAACTTTTTTTTTTTTTTACAGAGGGAGGAGAGTGCCTAAAGAGCTAAAACCAGTTTCACAGGGTTTTTCTTATGGTAAATTGATTCCACTCAGAAAAAAGAGAAACCACAGGCAGCAGTTTTATTATAGTGATTTTTCTTAAGCAGTAAAACCTGACTGTATCCCATTGTAAATCGTTAATTAGAAGTTTAACCCCATTTAATAATACCGTCTTGCTCTTCACCAAAAGCAATCTGCTCTAATGTTGGACAGTGAAACTGAATTACAATTTGGATGTGATTTTTTTTACTTTTAATTTTTAAATGAGAGTGTATTACTGTCACCTATTAAAAGTTATAATCCAGTTTTCCTAAGTTTGCTGGTAGCTTTATGTGCTTAGACTTTTTTTTTAAATGAACGCTTAAAGTGTCTTGTTTTTCTCTTTAACTATTAGGCAGACAGGGAGAGGAGGGGAGTCAGGGGTAGGGAGTGTCAAGAGCAAGTATCAGCAAATATATGGGATTTATTTTGAGTCCAAGATATTTTAACACTTGGAAATTTACTTTGGTGTCTGTTTAGTTGCTTGATCGTTGAAAAGATTGGTTGAAGAAATCCTTGTTGTGCATAAATCTAGAACCTCTCTTGATGTAGAGGGTTCCAGATACTTCACCTCCAGAAGGTTTTCATTATTCTGCTAGTCTTCAGTAGGATTTAGTGAAGTTGTGATACTTGAAATATTCAAATATAAAGAAATGGTTAATTAATTTAATTGTACCTGCATCTTTAATAATAAACTTTTCCTTGGTTTGAAATGATTTAGTGCACTAGCATGAGGAGGACTCCCTTGAATTTTTTTTTTTTATTTAAGTGCTGTTTATCTGTGTTATTGGCAGTACATTGCATAGTCGACTGCTGAGTGACCAGTCACAGCTGAAAGAGGACATGGATACCTTGAAGAGGAAGAACACACAGTTAGTACGAGAGCATAACCATCTCCAGCAATCATGTGAGGAAATGAAGAGACTTCATGATGAGGATCAAAAAGAGATAACGGACCTACGTAGCCAACAACAGCAGGTAGCCTGCAGTTTGTGTCATAAACAGTAGGAGAGTTTTCAGGCAACTCCAGCCTTATGCAACTGAGCTACTACTTATATACCATATGTACCCAAATCGAAGACAACTTCAATTTAAGATGCTCCTCCCCCCAGTTAGATTCTATGCATGAAAAATTATAAATTTGTTATGAATGTCCATGTATAGATTGTAATTAATAGAAAATAATCTATCTTTATGCCGGGGGGGGGGGGGGGGGGGGGGGGGGAGGGGCCAGGCCCCTGCCCCTTGTCCCCCTTTGCCTATCCCCTCCATGCCTGGGCCCCCTGTAACTACCACCCTGCATTGTGTTCCTCCATGTCTATGCCTGCTCCCTCTGCAGCCTGCCTCCCATGACTGCCTCCACTCCCTCCCTCTCCCCACACTCTTTACCTTCTGCTGCAGCTCTGCTCCTCCAAACCAGTTGGCAGCAGCACAGTCCTGACCCAGGCAGCCCAGCTAGGTCTGGTCAGTGCTGGAGGGACTGCAGCTAGAGCAAAAGGTAAGGTGGGGAGGGTAGCAGGGGATGGGAGCAGGCACAAGCATGGCGGGGGGGAGCAGGTTGCAGTTCCCCCTCCTACCCTGTGGTCTCCACCTGTGCTTCCCCTGGCTGGGTGGCCCTCCCTCGCCAAAGTTGACATTCCTGCCAGGGACAGGTGGTAGTTTGGTGTCGGCTTCAGCCCCGAGCCTGGAAGCCAAAGCCAGAGCTGAGTGACCTCCTGCCCTGGGCTTGTCCTCAAATCTAAGACTAGGCTTTTTTTCAACCCAGCCTCCCCCCCCCCCCCCCCC